AAAAAAAAAACAAAAAAAAAAAAAAAAAAAAGTTTTTACTAGCAACAAAACTCCTACATCACTCTTCTGAACTCCAGTCATGCGGCAGTTCGTTCAATGGGGCGGAAAAAAAAAAAAAAAAAAAAAAAAAAAAAATACGACGCGAAATGGCTAACACTTCATTTTTACCAAAGTGAAGAAACGGAAAGTTGCAACTTTTTGAGAAAAAATTTATCCAACATATAAAGGGACATGCATTTATAGGTGATCATTTTAAAACGGGTCGCGGTGTGCTGCCATCACAAAAATAATATTGTTGTTGCTCGCAAAAGTGCAGTACAGGTTAATTTTTTTTTTTTTTTAAGCACGGCGAATGGTTTAGTAAGCCCTGCCTGGGCGACTTGCCGCATGAGGACGGGCACGCAAAAGGAAAACAAATTGAGACGAAGCTGTGAGGCAAAATTGCAACCCATGGCAAAAGGAAGCAGTAACCCCCACATGGGTCACCCCTACAGGCGCAAATAAAATTGGACATTTCCAAATGCCGCAATGTTGTTGGGATCCTCAAAGGAAAACTCAACCTTGTTGTGCTACGCCCCCCAATGGATGCGCATATTAAACACATGAAATGAAATAAGGATGTGCTTCGTCCTAGGGGAAGCTTTACCGAACGGAGTCATATCCACTTGTAACGGGACCCACAACCAATACAAGATGATCACTTCAAAGTGCTGTCCCGTGCGCTTGGTCACAAATAAAACGCCGCATTCTTCACCCACGGGAGACACAGAACAAAATCAGGAGTCACTCGTCATGTACTTGAACAAATGAGTTAAGTTGTTCTGAATGTTGTCGCATAGATTTCCCAGTCGCCTAAATCTTGTGCAGGCAACGTGATGCTTCAGGCGACCTTTGCTTTCCCTTTTGGAAAAATTATTGTGTTTGCTTTTTCTGTCCCACTTGTTACCTTTATCGCGCTTGTAAATGTAAAGAGCTAATTTGTTCTCCTCTGTGTATAAGAGATCTAGGTAGGATCCATGCTGCTCCTGATTTAAGGATCCATTTTGCACACAATTTTGCATACACTGGCTGCAGCTATTTCTGCGATCATGCCTTTCATACGAGTCGATATAACTTTTATTTATTTCAATTATCTTGTACAGATTGTTCAATTTGTTTTTCCATAACAGTGTTTTCCTTCGTTCCATTTGGGAGATTCTATTGGAGGGAACTTCGTGGCCCATTTTGTAAGGTACCTTTGTAGCTGCGTTTGAGTCTTCCTCTGCATTCTTCTCAACCTTGCGGCACTCCATTCTGGGTGTATACTTGTGGGATACAGTTGGGGTGGACATTTCCCCACCTGCTGCGTGCATGTCGCCACTCACATGGGTCGCGTGTGGCGCGTCCGGCGTACCCTTCGAGCTGCTCAACCTGCTCAATCTGCTCGATCTGATCGATCTGCGTTCGCTGCGCGTGCACTCTGCACCACTCTCCGCTCTGGCCCTCCGCTTGCGCTTCTTACCCTTCGTGGACCTGTTCTTGTGAATGGCAATCTGGTGTAGAATGAGGGGAATGGAGCCGATGAGGGGACCCAAAATGAGCCCCTTGGATCCAAAGGTACTGATGGATAGGAAAAGCGACAGAGAGACCAACCATGCATGAGTGTGAGGAATCTCTGTATATATACTCGTGGTGAAGTAAAGATAAACAAAAAAATTAATTGCAAACAGAACGGAGGACACCACCTTTTTCTTCTGAATAATCCACAAATGGACCACAATCACAAGAATGACAATTTCAGGGGATATGATCGGAATGAGGGATAGGATAATGCAACCTAATGTAGGTACATATATAATTGGAAATTCAAAAAAGGAAAAGACTAACCAAATGTATAGTGTGTAAAAGTACACCCTCTTTAAGGTGCATGTAATGATAGCCTTCAAATTCATGGTGATGTTATAAAAGAATATACTCGAGGGGTCCACCACCAGTAAAATGTCATTCACATAACTCAGGGCAGATTTTCTCGAAGATATTAAATAATACAGAGCTGTGAAGAAAATAATCCCTTGGACAATTGCATCAAATGTGTACATGAAAAAATTAAAAAAAATGAGCAGGAAAAAAAACATTATTTTTATAAGACCGTAGCTGTTGTTAAATATTAAGTGCTTTGTAAGTTTTCCCACGTCTTCGATTTTTTTTCTGGAGGAAAATAGGTTGTTCAGGTAACCAATGAATTCCTTGAATTTGAAATTTTTTTCCTTCTGGGGGTCGTACAGGGGAGTTCCGTGCTGCACTGTGTTAGGGGTCCATCCATCTGATTGAACAATTTTCTGTTCACCTGCTGATCTGCCCCATCCACCCACTTTAGCATTGCCTCCCCCCCCTTTGCAAAATTCTCCCCATTCCGCGCTGCACCGCTGATGGGCTTCGGAAATCCCCCCCGGGGTTATCCCAAATATGGTGTTAAAAACGATGCGTCTGGCAGCACCATTCGTTCTGCCATCCCCCGGGTAGTAAACTGACGTGGAGCCCTGCTCATTCGTAAGATCCCTCGTCCGATTGGAAAATAAAAAAATGTATTGTGACACGGAGCGCACAAATCTTTTGAAGCTGAAGGACGCGCGAGAATCATCAACTTCATTTAGACAAGCCTCCACAGAGCACTCTTCCCCACTTTTCGGTAATGGAAATTTCTTGTCCTTTTTATGTTCTAACAAATGAAGCGTATGCCTCTGAATGCTACCCAAGTCTGGCCCTGCCACGAGGAGAGCAAGTCTGCCCAGGAGTAGCGGCAAACAACAAGCACTTATATGTCGCGTCCCGTTCTTTAAAAAGGTGTGTGCATACATATGCTGATATATGTCGAAGGCTCTCTTGAGGTGCCCAGAAATGGACGTCAGAGTTTTGTTACTCAGGAAGGGCACCTTGTTCAGGTTCACCAGCTCGTACAAATCTTCGATGTCTCCTTTGCCAGGCTTGCGGTAGAATTTTCGAAAATTCTTGAAGATGGCGGCCTGTAGGGGGTGGTGGTAAAGAGAGGCCGTAAAAAGAGGCGGTAAAAACAGGCCGTAAAAAGAGGCCAAATGAGTGTGCTATGCACGTTTCTCCACAATCGGCCCACTTACATTGCGGAAGTTGGAAGACAGGTACGCATTAATCGAGTTGATAATGTAAAGCGACTCGCCATATATATTAACGATAAACAAAATGGAGATGGCGGAAAAAATAATAATGGAGAAAATAATGATGAGCACAGTAAGGAGGTCATTCATGTAGTGCCTGTAAAAGTACACGTAATCGAAAGAAAATTGGCGACACCATTTGGTGTAATACTTTTTACTCAAGGAATAAAAATAGGCACTCCATATAGCCTTGACAATTTTATAAGAGAAAAAAAAAAAATAAATAAAGGCCCCAATGGTTAGTAAAAACTCTTTGTATTTGAAAAAGAATTCTCGTAAAATGTAAAATAGGATCAATCTGTGTAGGACGAGGAAATATATTTCACTGGCATTCCTTTGTTCATAATTTTCCAAGTCGTTTGTTAAATTTTCCTTTTTTTCTCCCTTTTCTCCTCTTTTGTATATGGGCTTAATTAGGAGCATGAACATGTACAGGTAAATGTCTAATTCCTTTTTCACGTTCTTTACAATTCTGTGTAGCTTTTTTTTGTATTTATTCGATATGCTTCCTTGGGTGATGAAGTCAGGCCTCCTTTTTGTTTTATCAAATTCTTTCACATGGCTGCTCTGTGCGTACGTACTCAGTGTGCTGTCTGGTGTGCACAGATTCAACTGATCGCGTTGTTGAAGCGGTTGCAGTGAATGCGGCGTCTCGCCGAAGGGGACGGCCTCCCGTGCAGCGCACTCTGCAGCGCCCACATCGTCACTCTCCCTCCTCTGCGATATCACCCCCTTTGCCTTCCTCCTTTTCCGCAGAAATTTCTTCCGCAACACCTCAGACAGCTTCACCTTCACATGGTGCAAGGGGATGGACACGATAAAAGCCCAAAACAGGGAGTAAAAATAATACTTCAGAATTATGTAGTTGTAGTACACGCACAGTACGAGCAGAATGCCTGCAGGGGGGGTGGTGCGAAGTTATAAGGGATGATGTGAAGTAGACGGTGGCGTGCCTCCATGCTCCTCCAACATGCAGAGCCTTTTGGGGGTGGAAAGGGGGGCCATCGCGACAGATGCTCACCTATGAGGTACACAATGAAGTGGACGATGGCTTTCTCCGTCTCGTCCTTGAACAAATTGCCCTTATTCATTTTCCTGATTCATCGTGTTAGTGGTGATGGAGGGGAAGTCGCTCAGGGCGACACGGAAAGCAGTGAAAAGACGAAGCGACAAAAAAGGCATCCAGGGGACACACCAACCGTCGGGCGGCAAGCACGTTGGACGACGCTTCTCACACATTGGAGGCAGCGCCGGTGCGTCCACCGCGGTCCATCAAGTCTGCATCATATCATGGTACTTTGTCAGGTGATGTGCAAGCGAAGATATAAAGTGGGAAAAGAACCACTATGAATGACTACTTAAAAAAAAAAAAAAAACAAAAATGAATGCTGTTCCCCAAACTGGTTTACACTTAAAAGGGGGGGACAAAAAAAAAAAAAATTCTCAAAAGTGCTGCATTCTTGAAAATAAAAAAAATATAAGTGGAGGGGAGAACAAAAAAAGTGGCACTAATTTTTTTTTTTCTCGTCCCGCCTCAGGAGTGTTTTATCCTTTTTTTTTTTATTCCCCATTACACACAAGGTGCGAAACGAAAATGTGCACGAGGGAGATATACACCTGTGCTGCAGTGTGATTGCCGACGACTCGTGCAGGTTTGCTTGGGACGGGGAGAGGTGTATACGCCCCGCCTGCATTTTTTTTCTGGACCAACGCAATGTGGTGAATAACAACAGGTGTGACAATCCGTTAAGGCAGAAATTATGAAAGGCGTTTGGGAGGCAGGAAATATGCTGCAGGTGGATCAGCAGTTGCGAAAAGATTTTATGCAAAGGGGGGGACTTGTGAGGAGGAACGGGTCGCACAACAGGAACGAACAGAACTGTACAAACGTTGAGGCCAACACCCGGGAGGGGGAAGAAGAGAAAAATAGGGAAACTCACTCAGATTAAGATCATGGGGACGACCCGTGCTGCATCCCTACTGCCCTATATCATCCTCACGCACACCGCGGCTTCGCCACTGTTGTTGCGCACGGGTTAACGTAGTGTCGCCTGGCTCTTCACGAGGCTTCTCAATTCACTGCAGAAGTAGCTGCTTGGAAGCAACCACCTATTAGAAGTACCCCCCGTGCGGCATGCAGCACAACCGAACCTGCGAAAACCCCGTGACTCATTAATGAAACTTGTAGGGAATACAAAGAAGGCCCTCGTGGTAAACCTCTACTTCCTAAGTATGGATCGAACGTCCAAGTACCTCTCCAAGGAGAGGGGGAAGAAGATATGCATAACGTATGAACATGAGCCGAATGGAAGTACCATCAGGCGGGTGGGGGTAGTAGAACCTGGCTCGACATTAAAGCGGGAGGCGACTAAGGGGGAGACAAATGCACATTTTGTGAAGGGAGTATATCCCAAAGTGGAAAAGAAGCAGCTACCCCCCCCTGTAGGGGGACAGATTCGAAATGGGCGAACAGAACGAAGGGGTAAGCAGGCCAGCCAGGATGGCAAGCGAGGTACCAAGCGGGTGACCGTAAAGAAGCATGAATTGAGGAAGGTTGATGGTGAGCTTAGGAGGAAGCTTGTTAAGGTGATGGGGGGTTCAGCTCGTGGTGAGAGTACGGTGAAGTTGGAGGGGCAAGGCGGTGATGATCACGCCGCTTCCCCCCAGGAGGAGGACAAGATGGCGCACTTCCTCCGGACATACGAGAAGATTAGCGAAATGCGCAAGCATATTGTGGCGCCGGTGGACAAGTACGGTTGCCACATGTTAAGTGACAAAGCGGAAAGTGCAAAGGTCTATCGGTTCCAAACGTTAGTCTCGTGTATGCTGTCCACAAGGACGAGGGACGAAAACACCGCCATGGCCATGGAGAAATTAAAAGCACACGGACTCACAGTACACAACATGCTAAAGACATCTGAAGAGGAATTACAAAAATTAATACAAGCGGTAGGTTTTTACAAAATTAAAGCTAAACAAATAATTCAGATTAGCCAAATATTGAGGGACAAATATAATTACGACATTCCACACACACTGGAGGAGTTGTTGCAACTGCCAGGCATCGGGCAGAAGGTGGCTCACCTGATTTTACAGACTGCGTTGAATACACATGAAGGGATAGCTGTGGACATACACGTGCATAGGATTTCTAACCGCTTGAATTGGGTATGCACGAAAAACGAGTCAGGTACGCAATGCAAGTTGGAGAGTTTTGTCCCCAAGGCTCTGTGGTCTGAGTTAAATAAAACCCTCGTTGGGTTTGGCCAGGTGGTGTGCAAGGCGAAAAGCCCGCATTGCAACATGTGTGCTGTGACGGATTCCTGCAAATACTACCAGGACACCCGAGGAGGGAAAGCGGCCCTTGGCTCGGAGTAAGACACATAGAGCTGCATAGCACCACATTGTGATGAGTGTTAAGT